AAAATTCTTTTGATCGTTTGATAAAAAGCTAGCACACCAATTTAACTTGTTAACTACTTTTTAAAAGCTATTAAGCTATTTAAAAGCTTTAAAGATACATGTTCATTGACAGCTTATTGTCAAAAAGGACTCCAAGATCGTTAATTAAGGAAACGCGATCTAAGACGTTAATCCCAAGTAAGTACGAGAGTAAGTACGAAAAAAAACAAACAGAAGAGGAAGAGGTGATTAGACTACCTACGTAGGCGGGTAGGTACCTACGTTGACTACGTTTATAAATTGTGATGGGATTTTTTTAAGCAAAACCCACGGCGTGTGGTTCGATATATAGGAATGAGATCTATACAAATTTTATGATTTTAACAGAATCGAATTCTTTGCTAAAATCAGTTATACCACATCAGTTTGCATGCGGTTCAGAAAACCTCTGTGAATGATCGAAGTGAATTCAAGTAGGTTAGTTGTGGTAGAGCGATGCTTGACAAAACCATGCTGTAAAGTGGAAATAATTCTTTTACAAAAATGTTGCAGTTGGGAAGTAACTAGTTTCTCTAGCAGTTCGGGTATCGCAGATAGCTTAGCAATTCCCCGGTAGTTCTCAATAAGTGCTTTCGAGCCTTTCTTATGAAGCGGAATAATAAATGATTCATTCCATCGCTTGGGAAGACATGCGAGCTCCAAGGATAAATTAAATAAGATAGTAAGAGGATAGCAAAGGACATCTGAGCAATGCCTTAGAACATAGCGAGGGACATTATCATGACCAGCAAAGAATGAGATATCTATTGTTGAGAGAGCTTTGAACACATCCTGATATCGAATTTTGACAAATAAATGTTGTTTATGTGTGGTAATTTATAGGGATTAGAAGAATTGAGGTTATATGAATCGGACGAATAAGTTGTTTAAAAGAATGACGCAAAGAGATTAGCAATACCTAGCTCAGAAGAATGTGAGATATTTTTATATGATAGGGAAGGAGGAAAAAGATTAGATTTACGTTTCATATTGACAAAAGAATAGGAGCTCGAATCATTCCGAAATTTTACCTTACAATTCATAATATACCGCTTATATAGTTGATTGTTGAGAATAATAAACTGGTTGCGAATATACAGAAAATTTGATTGATGAAACAAGGATCTTGACTTAGAAATTGGAATTGATTGAATTTTTTTTTTTTTTTTTAAAGTGGATCAAGTCTTGGCATCGAAGAGAAGAACTTCGAACGCTAAGAGTTTATTGAAGCCGGGATAACATAAAGATTAAAATAAAGTAAAAGTAAATGGAAGAAGTCCATAAAGTTTCGTTATTTTCCGCTATTCTCGGATTTTCCAGCTTGGACTTGAAGATGCCCCATCGCCGTTTACCTCCTGGTAGAAGGGCAGGTCGGCTAGCTTCTTAAGCGAAGCCTTCAACTTTGGAAACTTGAACTCGTCAATGGGTTAGCATCGTTAACGGAGGTGACAGTGGCCACCGCACAGAAATCAGCAATGGTCAGGCCACTGCCACACAGATAGGGCTCGTCCTTCAGGAAGCCCTCGTGGATCTCCCAGCAATTTTGGATGTAGGCGATCTTGTCGATGGTGCAGTCCGTGCAGCCGTAGTACAAGATCGGCTCGTACAAGAAACGCAGGCGGGCGAACAGGTGACCAGAGTCCAAGTGGAGTCGGAAGTCGACATTGGCGCGCTTCACCAGATCCTTGGGGTAGAGCTGCTGCTCCTCCTGGCCGTACTTCTCCACCAGATAGACACAGATGGCGTGCGAGTCGATGACCATCGATGAGCGTGGGGATCGTCTGCTGGGGGTTCAGCTTGAGGAATTCCGGCGTCAAATGCTCACCCTTCAATAGGTTAATTGACCTCAGTTTAAGGTCGAGTCCGATCACCTTGGCCGTGAGCAGGACGGCGCGGGATGGGGGGCTAAGAGTGGCGTAGTACAATAATAGCTTCGATATGTTTCAAGCTTTTTCTATGACCGCTCGCAGAGAACTCGGGGACTGAAAATTTCAAAAGGATCTTTTACTATATTTTACAGCTTCCATTTAACTTAACTATCGGAAATGAATAGAAGCTTCGGACTTTTTTATGTACCCTTGCAAAGGGTATTATAATTTTGGTCAACAATGTGAAACGCACTGAAGGAGAAATCTCCGACCCTATAAAATATGTATATTCTTGATCAGGATCACCTAAGTTAATACAATGTCCGTCTGACTGTCTATTTCTAACTTTGCAAAACTTTTTCTCAGTTTCAAAACTAAGGACTTGAAACATGCACACACCCTTCTTTTCTTTGCACGCACTTTACAACACGAACGGCCGGCATTGGCCGACTATATCCCATAGCTGCCATATAAATTGATCGGAAATACTATAACTTCGGTGTTTATAGAGTTGTTCCGATGAATGCTATTTTTGGCAAAACAATACGACATACCAAATTTCATAAAGATCGGCCGACTATATTCTCCATATAACTAAGCAATCGGAAAAGACCCAACTTCGGTGTTTTTGAAGATAGAAAGTTGGAACTCGTACAGAGAAAGTCCTACAGATTCTATTTTTAGTCAGTTGATTTTGGCCAAATTTCATAACGAGCGGCCGACTAAATCCTACAGCTGCCATATAACTTGACGATCGGAAATGGTTTTTCGTAAACATCAACATCAAGGACTGTAAAAATAACAAATTAAGTACTTTTGAAGAAAGAAGATGGGACTTTGTTTTGAATTTTGTATACCTATATTTTGTTATACCCTTGCTGAGGGTATTATAATTTCGGTAAAAAGTGTGCAACGCAGTGAGGGAGACATCTCCGACTCTATAAAGTATATATATTCTTGATCAGGATCACCTCCTGAGTTGATATGAGCATGTCCGTCTGTCCGCCTGTCTGGCCGTCTGTCTGTCTGTCCATTTCTACGCGAACTAGTCTCTCAGTTTTAAAGCTATCGTCTTAAAACTTTGCACACACCCTTCTTTCCTTTGCACGCAGTATATAAGTCGGAACGGCCGGGATCGGCCGACTATATCCTATAGCTGCCATAGAAGAAGAATCCAAGAATTGCCAAGAATCGGCCAACTATATCCGATGTTTGCGATATATATCCGGTTTTAACTGCAAGGGTATATCAACTTCGGCTCCGCCCGAAGTTAGCTTTCCTTTCTTGTTTTTTTTAATTTTGTATTCTTATAAATTTGTTTTAGTATTGAAATTCTTATTAGGATCGGCCAACTATATACTTTATTTTCTATATATATCCGATCTTAACTTAACTCTTTCCTAACGGTATATCAACTTCGGTTCCGCCCGAAGTAACCTTTCCTATCTTGTTTAAATCAGAAATTGCTGGAATTTTTAATGATCGGTGGTCAATTTTATCCGTTATTTGCATAATATATCCGATCTAAACTGCAAATGAGTATTAACTTCGGGCCCATCCGAAGTTAGCTATCCATTCTTGTTTAAATATTTAACAATTTTTAATTTAAAACAAAAAAATTTTTTTTTTAATTTTAAGATTTAAAGTCTAGTTTATATAAATATAGTCAAGTCAAGTCGATATAACCCAAGCCGAAGTAAATGTGCCCTGCAGATATGTGGCAGCTTATATTATAAAATATATACATATGGCACATATGATACCAAATTTTGTATATGAATTTTGAAAAAACCTTGTTTTTTGGGATCTTTTTAAACTATTTTATGGCACTTCAAATCTCCGACTTTTTCCGAAGATAGCTTTCTTTGTTTTATTATTCAAACCATTTAAAGCAAAGATATGTCTAAAAAAAAATAGAATAGGCCATTGCCATTGAACACATTTTCCCATTGAAAATTGGCATATGAAATTTGTGAAATATTTATACACACCTACATTAAATAACAATGAATTTGCTTAACACAATTTTCTTTATTATATATTCTAGATATAACGCAGAGTTGACGGCTATGACACAAATTATAATTTAATGTTAGTAATTAAATTTAGTTTTAATTTGAATATGTATGTTTTTTACGTTCACTTTAATATTAAATGAACATGTTATTAGATTCCAATGTGCTTGTCGATAATCTGATAATTGGTTTTCTTGGTAATGTAAAGAGATACTACCAAAAACAAGTTTTAAAAACTGACTTTTTATATAGGGTTGAAATAAATAAAACTGAACGTGTAAATATACATAGGAGATACATCTTTTAACTGGTTTCCACTTAAACAAAAAATACTTGCATTACAAGATATGTCAAAACAAATATAAGAAATAATTCAGAAAAATTGAAAAGATACAACGTAATTGTTATTGTAAACAAATATATATATTATAAATTTAAAATGAATGTGTTTATATTATATCATTTTTTGTTAACATTCCGCCTTGAAAATTTTTCTATTACTATCCTCCAATCAGACAATTTTTCAAGGGCCATAGAACAATGTATTTCTTTAAAATTGTCAAAAATTAAAATGTATCTTCTTACGTACAAAAAATTAAAAAATACCTAATAAGAAAAACATTTCAACACATTTTATAGCATCTTCGTGGACCATACATTAACATTTTCATCGAAGTGAAATATCAAGTTAACTTTAGAAAATATGAAGTTTACGCAAACAATTGAAGATTTTCGCATGGGTCGATGAGGTATGAATTCTCGTGTGCTATTTAAATATTGAAATAAGGGTAGATTTCTATTTCGATGCCCCCTAATGCCGCAATGCTATGTTTAGATAAACATTTATAAATTTTTCATGTATTTTAGGATTTAAATGTGTATCTCAATTTATTGTTATAGCTTATATGGCCATTATATTATATGTAAATAGTATTCCACATTTTCACTAATGCATAATCTGTTATTTAAATCATTCTTATTTTTGTTTGTATATAAATTAATGACTTAACATAATAAGACAAAATGTTAGTGTTTTGTTTATTATTTTCATTATTTGATTTTTAAGTTTAGTACGCAATTATTTTAATTTATTCTTAGATTGCGTGGTTATTTTTCTTTGTAAATGCTTTAACTTTATTTGACTTTTTCCAAATCCTGAATTTAATTTATTTGCAAAAGACTATCGTAGTTACATTTAGTCATAGATGCACCACATAATGATAGTGTTGTTTCTATAATGTGCAAATGACTGACGCAAAAAGGGATTTTCACCTTTTGGTAATATTCAGGTGCATACTGCGCTCAAACATTTGAACTTAGGTTACTTTATGTACGATTTAAATTTTAGTTGTAACCGGAATCTGACTACACAACTGATCCAGAGAGTCGTACTTTTTTGCGAGTTGTGTAGCTTTGTTTTGGTTTGTTTATAAGTATATAGCAATATAAATAATGTATATAAAGTTCTTTGTTTTTGTGGTCTACTTTTAAGTCAACTAGTCGCACCCACAGATTACTCCCTTTTTGTGTGATGAATTGATTTCCATTAAACTATAAAGGGGTAACACAAATCATATACATTAGATTTAAATGTAGATGATTATGTGACATTATCTGTAAAATGCTACCATTGACCCCACCCCACCCTTTAATGAATCTTCTCAGCTTTTTTTTTAGTTCCATACACGTAAGAATGAGTCCCATGATCCTGTTGCCACTGCCATACCGTTTTCAGTTACTCCCAAACATGATACACGATTATCATGGCCGGCAAGTATACCAGACCTTTCAGCTTTCATTGTGTCCCATACATTGCAGTTAAAGTCGTCGTATCCAGCAAGTAGAAGACGGCCACTCTTTGAAAACGCCACTGAGGTGATGCCACAAATAATGTTATCGTGAGAGTACATTGCCAGTTCTTGGTCGGCACGAATATCAAAGAGTCGGCAGGTTGCATCATCTGACCCAGTCGCAAATGCTTGCCCGTTGGGGAAAAATGTTACTGCGTTTATATCAGATTCATGACCTGGAAAAGTTTGTTTACAAACACCGTCACGAATATCCCAAAGTTTAGCCGATGCGTCACAGGCACCTGAAACAAATGTTTTGCACTGCGGTGCTAATGAAAGAGCCATAACATCTCCAGTATGGCCAAGAAATGAGGTGACTTGCAACCCAGTTTCAATATCCCACAAACCACAAGACATATCACCAGAACTGGTTACAATCTGATTGTCGTCCAAAAAGCGGCAGCATGACAGATAACCGCCATGGCCCGGTAACTCTCGGGACACACGAACGTTTCCTTCACGTGTTTTTAAGTTGTATATTGAACACATGTTGTCGAGACCTCCACAGGCAACATAGCTGCCTGACGGGGCATAAGCACAGGTCATAACCCATGAAGATCGCAATGGAATGGCGTGAACTTTGTTCGTGGTATGGGAGTCCCATACGATTAGCTTACCATCCTGTGAAGCTGAAACAAGGTTTCTAGAATCATTACCCCAATGCATTGCGTAAATTTTCGCTAAATGACCACGCAATGTGCGGCGCGTACGCATTTGTATGCGCCCGATGGGTTCCAGAGAGGCAGCAGCTTGCAACAAGGATGTGTCACAAGCGGCCTTTCGAGCATCTCGTATAGCATTCTTTAGGGATTCGGCTTCTTGCCTAAGACTGTCCAGTTCATTCATTTTTTACACAGGAACGTTTTTTTGTTAGATTTATTCCTTGATTTCCAGTACTTTCTGCGGGTTTTAAGGGATGTGAAGTGTAACTATAGTTTTAAATGGGATGTATATTTTATTAGAGTTGAAAATAATTGTAAAATGGTACTTACATGATTTTTAAGCAAGGTTTTTGCTTATATAAGCAATATTTGTTTAAAATGTTTAATTTTCGAAGTAGTTTAGTATAAACCAGCTTTATTACAGTTAGAAACTTTTTTATTCAGCGTTACTATACTTAAAAGTGCTTTCCTGCTATGCCTGGTTCATTCCGAAAACATCCATGTGCACGTCATTCTTCGCCAATTCAATTCATTTTTTAATGAATTTGTTGTATTTGTGTGCATAAGGTATATTAAGATGCCTGCAGGTATTATTTAATTAGAAATATTTTTCATTATTGGAATCCAAAGCGGACACAAATGTGTCTAAGCTTAAAGTTTTTTTTATGGTTTTTATTCTGACCTCTTCAAATTGTTTTTACCTTGTGAATGATAAAATATTTAATAACCCGGGTAAAAAAAAACCAATCCCTATTTACGTACATATACATATCTGAAGAATATATATATTGTATCTATATATGTAAATTTTAATGTAGTAAGTATATGCATATATATTTTTAATATTCTTTTTTTGTACACCAAAAATGCAATTTTTGCACCACCAATTCCGGTAAGCCGAGTGGAGTAAGCGGAGCAACCAGATATACATACGTGCGCGATTGAGAGTGCGATAGCACGAGTAGATTGGCAATGTTAAAAAAAAGCAAAAACAGCATATTATTTATCCCATTCGCACTAATGCCGATACAATGGGTTTATGACAAAGCGAGAAAGGTATATAAAAAAAATCAATTTGAAAAAGTAAACTAATTTTTTATTCTATATCTATATAAAAACGTTTCAATGTGGTGTAATAATTTTAACACTAGACATAAATTAATGTCTAAAATGTTTTTTTTATTTGAGAAAATCGGTGTAGACATTGAAAAAATATTTTATTTAGTATACACCCCAAGTTTAGAAAACCGACTTTAATTCAAATACAATCAATAAACTTACGAGCAAACTCAATGTTTTAAACGCAACGACAGTCTACTTTAGTGTCTTAACACTCAATTACACAAATAACGTTATAAAAAACTAGGTAATAAAACATCAATACAATCCGCAACTTTTCATTTGCACTCTACAATTGGCAGCCAACACCTAAAAGTTAAGTTAAAAGTGTTGGAAAATAGTAACGCCGATAATTTTTGTTCTTATCGAAAACTGAAATATCATAAATTCACTAAATATTCAAGTACAATACAACGAATACGTCATCTATCATGCGTATGTATCTGAATTTTGAGACCCGCTTTCAAAGAAGTTCATATGTTCTATAACACATGAGGAAAAATTCAATTTTTTAGCTCCATGTATAAATTTACTTGATTCATAACCTTTATGCTCACCTGAACCAAGGTCCAAAAAAAAAACATATGTTCCATTATCCACAGTTCCCGCGGTACTCCGCGGTAAAGACAAAATGCTAAAATGCTTTACCATTTAGTCAAAAAGTGGTGATCATTGCTCTCGATGCTCATTTGGTTTTGCAAATGCTCATGCAATTGCAGTTGTGTGATACTGCTCACGCCATAAGGTTCGTTGCTCACGCCATAAGCTTCGTTGCTCCCAGCATAGGCAAAGCGGAATAACAAAAAGAATTTCTCGTGTTTTTCCTGTTATCCCCAATCGTGCTAATCCGAATGAATTTTGTTGTTAAAGTGCCGAAAATGTTCACTGCAAATTCATTCTTGTTGCGGCTGAAACCAAAATGGTCGACCTGAAGCGAAAAATTTCTTCTAGGCAGAAAATTTTTTTTAAAGTATGAAGCTCTGCATTATTTCACATAGTATAGTAATAAGCTGTTGTAAAAAATGAAGGGCGTTTTTTTAATTGCTGTAATAAAATGTAATTTTTTTTATATTGTTTTTTTTTTAAACTCCTTGTGAATGGTTGATCCCATGGATGGAAAAAAACATTTCGCACCGAAGTTTTGACGATTTTTTGCATTGGTACGGGAGTTTGCTCTCCCGATTGCAGAGCTGGGCACCCCGTTAGTAGACCTAAGACCCCGTAAATGCGTTGGTATATCTAATTCTTTTATTTGAAAGGCTAGTACTAAAATCGAAAAACATGTTTGACGAGTAAAGCGTTTATTTTTTCCAGTGTAGGCGAATATTAGCCATGATGGGTTTTGAACCTTTTTGGGTTTAAAAATATTAATTTAAAATTATTTTGCTCAAATTGGCACCATAAAATTGGGATCAAAATATAGTTTATGCCACAAATCTGAAATAAGGAAAAGAACTTCCACTAATTTATTTAAATGTATAATTTCAAACAAATCAAATAAATTGACTTAGACAATTAACTATGCACATGCATGAAATTTTTGCATTATTACAACAAAAAAAACATTGACAATGTCTTGCAAGCCCATGACTGTGACTGTGAAAAATTGCTAATCTTTTCGCTACGGACCTGTAAAATGTTCATCGGTGTTAGTTGGCATTAGAATGAGGGCCAAAAACTTAGATTTGTATTAACCCTATACAAAATTAATTAAATGAATTTACTGCACATTGAAACGACTTAAGACGATGTAATGGCATTAGAATGCGACCGGATGTAGCTAACTTTTGGAACAATAGAAAAAAATTATTCAATGAAATTTTTTTTACAAAATAAATTTTTTACTGAAAGGTATTTATGTAAAATATATATATTTTTTAGGCTTTAAAATTGAAAAAAAAATATTAATATTATTATTATTATTATTAAAATATTAATTAATTTTGGAAATTATTTATACAGTCCCTCGACATTATATCTCCATATAATAAGCCGAAGGTCTTGGCGCTATGGCTTTAGTCATAAATTAGCTTGTAATTTTAATTATTTTTAATTATAATACTGTAATTATAATATAAAAAATTCTAAATAAGCTAATAGCGCATAAAATGTCTCATAATACATACATATGTAGAATATGTACAAATTGGTAATATTAGGGTGTTACGGTAATGTCTAGTTGTATTTAATTATCCCTCGCTGCAGTCAGTTACGTTACAGGTGCGGGTGTCCCTGGCGGTTGCCGAGGGGGTTGCTTCTCCTTTTGGGAAGTAAGCGATGATTGAGTTGCCGAGGGAGTTTCCTTCTATGACAGGAATTATGGTGGCAGCTACTGGCTCCGTTATCACGGCCCTGAAGACGCGGTGACCGATTCAATAAAATGAATTTACTTTACGGCTGTGCCGGAGTATTGGTACGAATACTTCTTTATTAAGTACAGAAAGAGAAAAATGCAAAGACATTTGGTTATAGAGAGAGAGGGAATTTTACTTGTTTTCTTCTAACAATTATCAGAGATCCTTGTTCCAATACCGTCAGAGACTTAGAGTCATACTTTTACTTTGGTCCTCAAAGATTGGACTTAGAAAACAAAACACTTGTTTAACACATTTTTTAAGAGTTATAAAAAAAATTTGAAGTTTTATTGGTTGTTATGCTTTTGAAAATATTTTTTTTAAAATACATATTTTCTATGTTTTTATAGACAAATGCATGCATAATAAAAAATGCAAATATGTTGAAAGCAATTTAAAATGATTTGATCAAGATAGCTATTTTTAGCTTAAATGTAACGGTCACACTATGTTGACAATTGTGCTAGGGTTGTCAAATATTATATAAAAAAATATGATAATATTTAAAATATCACAGGGAAATATCGATATATTTGATATTTTCGATATTTTTTGAATAAATTGTTTTCCTGCACAATTAGGGGATTCCCTTAACTGTTGAATCTCTAACTAAAAAAACAAGTTTCCTAAATAATGATTTAATTATATTTTTATATATTGTATAAACTTAACTTTTATTTTATGATATACAAAATTAATCCCAATGTTTTGAATTTAGGGATTTTAAGAATACCCTTTGCTTTTTGTGTGTGTCCGTCATATAATTTCAGCTCCTTATTTTCGAAGCAACATAAGAAGCTGAAATTATACTTCAGATTGCCTCAAGCTGCGTGGGAAAGCAACCCATTGGATGTATGGAAATCCCATAAATCGATCCTATCCATAAAATCCCATATCCAACTGCTCAATTGGGTATAGAAGTTTAATCCGCGTGCTTTGAAATTCAGTGACCAAGGAAAAAATATCCAAAAATATCAACAAAAAAAAACATCGATATTTCGATATTTAAGCAAAAAAATATTACGATATAAATGTATCATTATTAGAAAAAAATATCGATAAATTAATATTTTAATATACATGTTTAGGTGAGGGGCCGTGGTGCCGTTCACCTGAAGAGCACATCCGCGCTGAAGAGCACATCCGCGCTGAAGAGCGCACCCGCGCTAAAGAGCGCATCCACACTCGCCCCTCTGTGCCCTCTCTTCTCGTTCGTTGGTTGTCGTCGATCGTCTCTTTTTTGTACTAGTTTTTAAGTTGGCAATTCGATGTACGCAGCCAATAAAGCTGAACGCGTTTCTTTTGGATTTTACTGGAAACGCCCCCGACTTATTTTTTCATCCCCATTTCTGGAGTCTTTTGCGGAACCAACGCCCCCCTACACATTTTGGTCCTTCGAGCCGGCTATCTGGATATTCAGGATATTTTGGATTTTTTTGGGATATTTGGATATCGTCCACCAGCAGTCCAGGCATTGTTCCGCCAAAAGATAAGTACGAAATTTTTTCCGTCTCCGTCTCTCTGCCGGTCTTCAGCAGTGGTCCGAACATTAAATTTCGTTCACACTGCTGCAAGATTTGTCATTTTTTCTTTCTCTACCGTGTCAACTCCAAGTCCGAGTTTTCCGACACCACGGCAGCTTGAGACTTTTCCAAGACAAAAAAAATCTACAAAATTTTCCATCCATCTCCGTTTTGTGTGCCTGCCATATTCCTCGCCGGTTTTTGACCTTTCCGTTATCCGTTCGCTCGCCAACGGTCGAGGCATATGTGTATGCATACATACATACATGTATGTATGCATACATTCTGTTTGATGCAATTAATCCGCAAAAAAAATCCGCAAATGAACAGTGAAAGTGTGTGGTGAAAAAAAAAGGGCATAATTAATATTGGCCAGCCGGTGTGAAGTGGTTCCGGGAATCTCCAAGTTCACCGAACAGTCCGCCGCTGTCTTAATATTGGTTTTTCTTCCCCAATTTTTTACACCACATAACTTTTTCGTTCCCCCAGTTACATATTATCGACGCAGTTACATGTTATCGACGCTCCACTGTGCTTACATATGCCCACATGCCCTTACGTATATCCGTACCTGCATGCATGTCCACATATCTCCAAATATTTTCTGCCTCCGATTTCAGGAAATATATAACCGATAAAATTTAACCATACAGTCCACTTATCGACGTTCCACTGTGCCATCATATGTCCCACATGCCCTTGCTCTACTTGCATGTATGCCCATATATTTCTCAATATTTTCTGCCTCCAATTTCAGGAAATATATAACCAAACAAATTAAAAAAGAAATATCAATTAATTATAAATTTATTTATTTATAATTATAACTACAAAAATTTATTTAATTTGTATTTTCCGTCCGAGTAAAGGGCCAGGGTTTTTAATTCACCTTTCCGGCCACTCAATAATTGAAGTCGAAAATTTAATTATCGAGAAAAAAATTATAATTAAATAATTTAGTTGTCGATCTTCTTTCTGAACCTAGCCGCGTTTCAATTCCACCGTTCCAACTTCGGGTTACTTAACCTCCATTGATTAAAAATTGAAATTTTCAACTCCACCCGTCTGTTTCCATAATAATTAAATCCGACAATTAGGCAAAAATTAATTATTTATTTTTTTCTCTGTGTTCAATCCAAGCCAAGGTCAAGTCCACCTTCCCGGCTCCGCAAATTCGAAAATAGTTAGGAATTGAATATTTACGTACGAGCCATAATGGTCGAAATATACATACATATATAGACATTCATCAATTATTTTTCCGAACGATCACGAATTTTCCGGTCCTTGTCCATTTTCCGTTCCGTCATTTTCCTAACGCTGCTTCTACTCCGCATCTGGCAACATCCGCCTAGAATCTCAACAATGCTTGGCCCATCTGGTTTTTTTTTGGCTTCCTGAAGTTTCTCCCACATCCGAATTGTGCCGCATCCGACGTTCCTCTCGACA